GAGATGGTATCTCATTGTGGTTTTAATTTGCATTTCTCTAATGGCTAGTGATCGCGAGCATTTCCTCATGTGTCTGTTGGCCATTTGAATGTCTTGTTTGGTGAAGTGTCTTTTCATTTCCTTTGCTCATTTTTTAATAGGATAGAAAAGGTTTTTTAATATAGTTTTATTCTGCATGCCTTATTATAAGTAAGGTTGAGTATCTTTTCTTATGCTTAAAGGCCATTTTAATTTCTTTTTGGGGGAACTGTCTGATTACGCCCATTTTTATATTGTGTTTTTACCTTTTTTTCTCAATTTTTAGAGCTCTTTTACATATTAGGAGCCCTGGTGGCGCAGTGGTTAAGAGCTACAGCTGCTAACTAAAAGGTCAGCAGTTCAAATCCATCAGCTGCTCCTTGGAAACCTTATGGGACAGTTCTACTCTGTCCTATGGTGTCACTATGAGTTGGAATTACTATGACAACAGGTTTGGTTTTTTTACATATTAAGTAGATTAACCCTTTGTGATATAAATTGTAAATATTTTCCCAGCTTGTTATTTGCCTTAGACATTTAATTTTTTTTATGTGAAATTTTTTTCTTTTTTCTGCTTAAGATTTTTTTTGTGAAAATATACACAATGAAACATACACCCATTCAACAATTTTTACATGTACAGTTCAATGACAGTGGTTACATATTTCATATCGTATCAGCATTCTCACCATCTTGACCCACATTGTTTTACCACTGTTAACTTAGACTCTCTGTCCCTTAAAGTTCTCATCTGTGCTTTAGAGTTACTGTTGTCCATTTGCTCTTGTATGGGTAATTCTTTAAAAGAGCGCAGTGCTCAAGGCAGACATTCTTTATTAATTGAGCTAAACTGTTTAGTTTAAAGATGACTTCATGGGATAGTTTCAGTTCAAAGTTTAAAAGTTGTTGCCAGGCAATAGATTCAGGGGTTCCTCCAGTCTCAATGTATCCAGTAAGTCTGGTTTTCATAAGAATTTTAAGTTCTGTTCCAGATTTTCCTCCTTTTGATCAAGATCTATCTGTTGGGTCCTTCATCAAAATGTTCAGTAATGATAGCCGGACACCATCCATTTCTTCTGGTCTCATGGCAAAGGAGGTAGTAGTTCATTGAGGCAATTAGACCTGCAGTCCCTTTCCTTCTCTGATTCCTAGATCTCCTCCTTCCTTTCTTGTTCTAGGCAGCTAGAGATCAATTGTTGTATCTTGAGTGGCCACTTGCAAGCTTTTAAAACCCCAGGCACTACTCACTAAACTAAGAGGTAGAGCAGAAACTCTAAAAACAATATTAGGCCAATTGACTGGACAGATCTGTGAAACCATGACTCTGAACCTTTGAACCAAGAAAATTAATCCCATGAGGTGTTTATTTGTACTTAAGTAATATCAACAGCTGCAACCTTTTTTTCTTTCTTTCTTTTTTTTTGGATGCTGTTTTGGTTGTAAAATTATATATAGTATTCTGTTTGCCATTTTACCCTTTTTTTTCTGGTGTACATCTTAGTGATATCAGTATATCAGTTACAATAGTCAAGTTGTGTACCATTACCCTTAGTCAATGCCATAGACAAAGATTCAGTACTTCCCAAAGAATGATTCGCCCTCTCACAGTCCCCTCCTGCCCCTGGTAACTACTAGTAACCATTGGTTTTTGTATATTTACCTATTCTTGTCATTTCATATAAGTGAGAACATACAATGTTTGTCTTTTTGTAGTTAACTTATTTCACTCAGCAGTGTCTTGGAGGTTAATCCACGTTGTAGCATGTATCAGGACTTCATTTTTCTTTAACACTGAGTAGTATTCCATGGGACCAGTCCCTGGAGAAGGACATCATGCTTGGTAAGGTAGAGGGTTCGCAAAAAAGAGGAAGACCCTCAACAAGATGGATTGGCACAGTGGCTGCAACAGTGGGCTCAAGCATAACAACAATTGGGAGGATAGCACAGGACAGGGCAGTGTTTCGTTCTGTTGTATGTAGGTTCACTGTGAGTAGGATAGACAACACCTAACAACAACAGTATTCCATAGTATGTATATACCACATTTTGTTTATCCATCTTCTAATGGGCACTTGGGTTGTTTCCACCTTTGTGCTATTGTGAATCAAAAGTTTTTTGTTTAATTAACTCATATTTATCGATCTTTATTGCTTTTGGAGTTTGAGTCATGGTTAGATGGGCTTACAGAAGTCCGATGTTATAAAGAAATCCACACGTTTCCTTTTCAAATACTTAAATGGTTTCCATTTCCAAATTTAGAACTCTGATCTATTTTGAGTTTATCTTGGTGACCTGATGACAGTATGAGGTATGGACCCAATTTTATCTTTTCCCAAGTGGCCATCTAGTTGTCCCAACACTACTTATTTAAAAATTCATCTTTTCCCTAGTGATTTTAGCTACTACTTTATTATATACCAGATTTCCATATGCATTTAGGTATATTTCTGGGCTTTTTATACTTTTCCATTGTTTTACTTGTCTATTCCTATATCAATACTCCACCAGCTTAATCATAGATGTGCTGTAGTACGTTTTAATATCTGGTAGGGTTAGCCTCTCTTCATTCCTCTTCCTTGTTTATTAGTAGAAGATTTTTTGAAGCAACTTTTCTGGCTATATATTTTTTAAGCTTTCCTAAATATTTCTAATGAATATGATCTTTTCCACAGAACTGCAATATGCTAACACTGTTATGCGTTTTGATTATGTCTGGCTTCGAGATCACTGCCGCTCAGCGTCCTGCTACAACTCTAAGACTCACCAACGCAGCCTGGACACTGCCAGCGTCGATTTATGTATCAAGCCAAAGACCATTCGTCTGGATGAGACTACAGTATTTTTCACTTGTGAGTGGACAGATTTAGTCTTCTTCTGGGGTACTCTTCTAGAGAACAATTATTTTGTGAAAAATGGTTCATCCCTTTCCAAAGTAAGATATTCTTTAATTTACTTTTCCTTTTTCTTTGCTTTTAGAAGCATTTATTTTTGAAATATATACTTACCTTTTATTTTTCCTTTTATATAAATTTGTGATACTGTCACAGACATAACTGCCGTAATTTGGACAACTGTACCATGAGATGTTCTGGGACTGCAGTGGCACAGGCTAGTGGAGAAAGAGGGGAGGACAAGAAAAGGCAGGAACAGTAATAGAAAAATTAACCAGACTATGGTGGAATCGATGGTTTAAGCCTAGTAGGTTTGACCTATGGCAGTATTGACATTCAGGAGCATCATGCAGAGGAAGTCTGGAACAGGAAGTAATGCTCCATAAATGTCACTAATATCACTGTTAAAACCCTGTACTTTTATGTTGAGGGGAGAGGGCTTATATGATATTTAGTTGGTTCAAAGTTTAAACCAGTGGGTGCATGTACTCCTGAGGTTACACAGACGGCCCAAAGATATCGTGCAGAAATATTTTTAAAGGAATCAATTTCTGTATGCGCACTTTCCAAATGTACTCTTTAAAAAAAAAACTCTGTTATGCTTGTATGCTCTTCCCTTTCACAGTAGGCCTTTTTCAGTTTTACACAATAAAGGCATACTTCTCTCCTATCCTGAGTATTGTTATGGCTCATTAAATCGTGAGTATTAAAAAAAAAAATCCTGCTGGACTCCAAACAAAGGGACAATTTGAAATTTGATGTTCATGATGAAAACGTGAATGTCTGTAATGATGGAGTAAAAATTCCTTTTGGAAATTAGATGGTTAAGTTTAAGGAGTTCTCTGTTCATAGATAATTAAAAATATTGTAAAAGAATGTTCACTGCGTATTTTTTTAACATATAATTCAGAGGGAGTGCAAAGAATTGAGTGACATTTTTATGCTAAAACCATTTCCATTCTCATATACATACATATCTGAACCAATTTCTTAGCATTTACGTCTGTAAAAATGAACAGCAGGAATAGAACTTATGCTGGACCCTGTCACAGTCTGTCAATATGTAATGTTCATCCATAGATACATGAAGTAATGGGGATAAAAATTTTACTTTTTTGTTTAAAAATTGCTTATCAAAATCTGTAATGTGTTCATGTTGCTTTGGTCAGTATTCTAATAATGTTAACTCACACCAGAGAAGTATTTTTTAAATACTTGGAATCTTAAGGTCACATTTTTAAAATATTTATATTTATGTAATTCATTTGTTGAAGAGTATGATTGGGTCCTTGGTAAAATATTTTTCAAGAATAAAAATACAATTCATTAAGTTAATGTTTTGTACGGTAGGTGGAATAGAAAAGCAAGTTCAAGGAGGAAAAGTAATGATGTTAAGTTTCAACTGTTAAATAAGAGCTTGTCCATGTATTTTTAAAATGGATAATTGTGGGCATCTAATTGCTATAGCTCTTGATCCTATTGAATATTTTTAAAACAGTGATATAAGAGTTTATTTTGGACTAAGGTGCACCTGACCCAAACCATGGTATTTTCAATCACCTCATATGCATGCAAAAGATGGACAACGAATAAGGAAGACTGAAGAAGAGTTGATGCCTTTGAATTATGGCATTAGTGAAGAATATTGAATATACCATGGACTGCTAGAAGGACAAACAAATCTGTCTTGGAAGAAGTACGGCCAGAATGCTCCTTAGAAACGAGGACAACGAGACTTCATCTCACTTACTTTGGACATGTTATCAGAAAGAACCAGTCCCTGGAGAAGGACATCATGCTTGGTAAAGGAGAGGGTCAGTGAAAGAGAGGAAGACCCTCAACAAGATGGATTGACACAGTGGCTGCAACAATGAGCTCAAGCATAGCAACGATTGTGAGGATGGTGCAGGACTGGGCAGTGTTTGGTTCTGTTGTACATAGGGTTGCTATGAGTTGGAACCAAGTCGACAGCACCTAACACCAACAGCATAAGAGTTTTATTTGCAAATGTCAGTATTTACAAACTACTTGGAAACTAACATTATGATAAAAATTTAGATGTAAACTCACAAATGTACATAAACCCATTGCCATTGAGTTGATTCCGACTCAGTGACCCTATAGGACAGAGTAGAACTGCCCCATAGGGTTTCCGAGGAGCAGCTGGTAGATTCGAACTGCTGACTTTTTGTTTAGCAGTGAAGCTTTTAACCACTGTGCCACTAGGGCTCCCACAAATGTACACAGAATTTCAAATTCTTAGTGGGCTGTGTGAGCAAAAGTGTTGAAGAACACTGATTTAAACTACTGAAGTCAGGTAATGAATAGTAGTAGTTAAGAGCATGGACTCTGGACTCTGATTCATAATAGTTCCTGCCTCATAGGATTATTGTGAGGATTAAATGAGGTAATGTAAAGTGCCTGGTGCATGGTAAATGCTCAGTAAATGTTTGCCACTTTTAATGCTGTTGTGATTATGGTTGTTATAAATTAAACTCTTCCAGAAACTTAAGCCAAACAGAGATCTTAATTATCAACCTTTAAAAACTTCAATTTGAGGGCAGGGCCAAGATGGCGGAGTAGTCAGGTGCTTCTGGTCGTCCCTCTTACAACAAAGACCCAAAAAAACAAGTAAATCGATTATATCTGACAATCTAGGAGCCCTGAACATCAAAGGCAAAGTTGAGGGATCAGACTGAGTGGCATGGGGATGGAGAAATGGTGCGGAAGCAGCGAGGAGTTGCCAGACCTGACCCGGCGAGAGCCTGAGCCCTTCAGGCCTGATCAGCTTGTGGTGTGTGGTGAGGCAGGCAAGCAGTGGATGGAGCTCGGGGTGTTTTCCACATCAGGAGAGACCCAGTGGCAGAGAGTCTACTCAGCCATCCAGAACCAGTGAGAAGCAGCCCTCGATCAGCAAAAGATAAATACTTGCATCTGGCCTACCGCGTGGATCAAAAACACCCCCCCTTAGGGAAAAACCTCTGTCCCATTTACCTCCCCGCTCTCTGCTCTGTACTGGGTCTGGGACCAGCCTCAGCGATTGCTGAGTCCCCTGGGCCGTAAGTAGGACCCGTCATGCGCCCTGAACCATTCTCCCAGCCTTGGAGAGTGAACAAATTAACAAACGGGGAAAAATAAACTGCCAGCTCCCCTAAACCAGGAACTCAGGGCAGACACAGCTCCTTTGCTTAGGCACAGGCATAAGGGATCCACGGACTTTGAGTGCCTTTCCCCCTACATAGACTTGTGTGGGTCCATTTCAACAGCATAGGCCCTCATTACCGCAGTACAACAGAGTATATACCTGAAGTCTAACTTCAGCTGTTCCAGCTGTGAAGTGGCAGGTTCATGACATTTGACACTGCTCTGCCTATTAAGCAAGGGTCTTCACCTACCCACTTCAGGGGCCTGAGGACTGGTGGCTCCACTTATGCCACCTAGCCACCTGCAACAGGGGCCCAAGAATAAGAGATGCCCCCTAGTCCTTACAGCCAACAGCACTGGGTGCTCATAGTCTGGCTGCAAAACCCACCCACCTACACACTCTAGGGAACAGGGACATGCTTTCCTCCTGGACACTCAGGGGTGGCCGTCGGCCCCCTGCCTTGCTCAGCCTGTGTGCCCCTGCAGCAGCTGGAAGCCTGTGCCTACACCAATCACCCATGCCTGTCTAGGACTGTAGGTGGGAGCCTGCACCACACACTTGGTGGCCATCTACCTGGACACCTGAGCTGAATCCATACAGGAGGAGTGAGCAGACTCCTGGGCTCACATACTTAGTGACAGGTCTGGCCACCTGGTGGCAGGACTTTAGAGCTTCAAATGTGCCAATAATAAAACTAGCTCATACAAGCAGCCTATTTGGGCATATCAAAACAAAACAAGAAGCTAGGACACAGGAAGCAAAATAAATATAATAACTTATTGATGGCTCGGAGACAACAGTCAATATCAAATCACATAAAGAGGCAGACCATGATGGCTTCAGCAAGCTTCCAAAATAAAGAATCTAGAAATTTTCCGGATGAAGGAAATTTCTTGGAATTACCAGAGGCAGAGTACAAAAGATAAATATGCAGAACTCTTCAAGATATCAGGAAGGAAATTAAGCAAAACGCAGAACACGCAATAGAGGAAATATAAAAGTTTAGAGAAGAGCTAAATGACAAATTTAACAGGCTGCAGGAATCCATAGAGAGACAGCAATCAGAAATCCAGAAGATTAACAATAAAATTTCAGAATTAGACATCTCCATAGAAAGTCATAGAAGCAGAATTGAGGCAATGGAAGTCAGAATTAGTGAGATTGAAGATAAAGCACTTGACACCAGCTTATTTGAGGAAAAATCAGGTAAAAGGATTTTAAAAACATGAAGAAATCCTAAAAATTATGTGGGATTCTATCAAGAGGAATAACCTACGAGTGATAGGAGTACCAGAACAGGGGGATAACAGAAAAAATTCAATTTGATAAATGGTTTAGATTTCACTATTTCTCCTGTGTTTAACCAGGGCCCAAGGACCAGCAAGGTATAGTGAAAAGAGCACTGGACTTGGAAGTACACAGACCTGGATTAGACTACATTGCTGACATGTATCTGATATATAGCTTTGAACAAGTTATTTATTTAACCTCTCTGAGCCTCAGCTTCCTTACAATATCCTAGAGCAGGGATCAACCCTAGGGCCAAATCCTGTCCACCACCTGTTCTGTAAATACAGTTTTATTGGAACACAGCCACACCAATTTGTTTACATATTTCCTGTGACTGCTTTTGTGCCACAACAACAGAGTTGAGTATGGCCTGCAAAGCTGAAAATATTTACTATTTAGCCCTTTGTTGTTGGTGGTGTTGCTGGGTGCCCTCGAGTCAATTTTGACTCATAGTGACCCTATAGGATAGAGTAGAACTGCCCCAGTGGATTTCCTAGGCCATAATCATTACAGGAACAGATCA